TTGATTTTTGCCTTTGGTGATGTACAAAAAACATTCATTAGATTCAATTTGAACATTAATTAAACAGGTGTGTTAGTAGTCCTGGCTGTTTTGTGATAGGAACACATGGCATTAAAACATGAAATGTGTAGAAAAACATGTTTCAAAACTACTTTGCTCCTTGGATGTTGCATCTCTAAACCAGTGAATATTTGGCAACTGATAAATAGAACAACATACTTTGTTACATCTTCAACTTGTTGATGAGGTGGAATTTCCAACTTTAAAACCCAAACACCTCAATGACAATAAGTCTAACTTCACAATGGATTAAAAAAAAACACAACCAAATGTAGATTGTGTTTTTCAGGGACTTGACGAGATCTTCAGGCACATTTTAAGAATATAATGGACTCCTAAGCATTTCAGAAACTTTGTTTGCACATTTGTGGTGGTCATCATTTGTGTGGTGTCAGTAGACCTGTGAAAAATCACATTGTGTGTGAGTAATTGTCAGAAAATCTATAACAGGTTAATATTTGACATGTTAAGGTTACTGTGATTAGTGCTGTGTGATGATGACATTTTTATATGAGACACACTCATTATGGCTGTGTCTCAATTCAGGGGCTGCAGCCCTCAAAGGGCCATTTGTACACCCATTGCATGGGATCCTCATGCAAGCAACAAATGAAAAAACCCCAAAACCGTAGTCTGCATCTAACTATCCAACATGGCCAATGATATCCCAGGATTAATTGTGCTGTCAGCAAATTGTACAGGAAATCAAAGACGACAAAGTTGTTTTTTTTTGTTTTTTTTACGGCAGAGTTTGGAAATTCATCACAGGCCGACTAATTTATTTTAAATGTATGTTTAGCAAAGTAGTGTCATGATTCACTCTTGCTCTATTTTAGTTTTGTATTTATTTTTCATTGTCTAGCTTTATTTTAATATTTTATATTATAGTCTTGTTTAACCTTGTCACTCTAGTCATAGTTTAGTTTTTTTAATTTGTTCACCTCAGCCTCAGCCTTTAGCATGCAACAGCCCAGCTGCTTGTCATTGTTAATTAGGTCAGCTGCAGCAATTATGCTCAGCTGTTCATCTGCCTCTCCTTGTATTTAAATCCCAGCTTTAGTCCAACCAGTTACCAGATTAAGGAAAGGTTTACCTTAGTATTGTCCAGCATTCATGTTTCGTCCAGCCCTCCTCGTCTTGATCTTGTTTTTGTCCTCTGGTTTCACGKCTCCTGCCTTGCCCCTGAATGGTACCTCTACGGATTCTGTCCTCCTGATCATGACCTTGGATTTTGTCTCTGAAACTCTGCTCTCAGTCTCTCCCTTGAACAGGTCCGTTCAAGGGAGAGACTGTCCAGCCATCTGATTCCCGGATCTTGACCTTCGCTAGTAAACGTCGACCACGTAAGACGCCTGCTCCTTCTTACATTATTTTGCTCTCTGATAACCTGTGTATGACCCTGGACTGGAACTCGGTAAACTCTCGGACCTGCAAGTCCATTCGGACCCAGTCTCWCAAATCTGGAAGTCAAACTGGACTCAATCTCAAATGCCCATCGCCATTAAAGAAACTTCACCAGACAAACAAACATTGAAAAGGTTAGTCAACCATTTCAAAGTAAAAGAATTTCCTTTTGCCCAGCCTGAAACTAACCTTTTGTTCTCTTGTGTAGAACTCCTGATTCTGGTGACGTGTCAGACCAGTTCCAGTGTTTTATTTTTAAATAAAACTTTTAAAACTTTATGGAAGTCCGACTATTCAGTGAAACTCAAAACCTGGTACATTACAAGTAGCTGTAATAAGTTGCTGCAATAAGATGTTAAATAAAATTTAATTAGAAATACAGATACTGAGCTAATCCCAAATTATTAATGTTCTTTATTTAGTTATGTGTAATGTTTTTAAAAAATACATTGAATTTTGAAAAGTTATATCTCCTGTAAAAAATAAGTATTAGTACATATTCCAATGCATTTTAAGTTTCAGGCATTCATGGGCGATGAGATATAAAGCATAACACCATGGTAATGGGGAAGTGCATGGTCACGCAAACATACATAATCTAGACCATCTCACTTAAGAGCTGTTTCATGCAGCCTACTTGGACTGCAAAGGGTGTGGCCCATGTGAGCCTCAGTCTACGTGGGCTGCAAACCCTGAATTGAGACATAGCTTAACAAGTGCGTATGTGAGCTCATATCATAACAATGGYGAAAGGAGCCACAGAGCAGCTAACCCTATGAACTGAGTATAAGGAAAGCCAGAAAATGTGGGCCAAGGCAACGGCAACTACATTACCTCCAATTTGCACTACTTGTGTTCCGCCTCCGCTCCGCTCTGGTCTGACCTCGGCAGCAAATACACACCATTATAATCAATGAGAGTGTTTACACTGGCTGCGCAAGGCGGCGGTGAGCGGACGGCGATCCGTAAAAATTAGATTCGATCCTATTTTTGACKGATGCCGGAGCTGCTCCGGAGTCAATTTTTAAAGATTACGTCGCACCAACAGGAAAAGAAATGAGCACAACATTTGTATTTTCAAAAAAAGACACTATTCGGCGGAATAATTTGTCGGAATAATGTCGAATTTGCTGCTATATTAATGAATATGCAGATATATATTTCTACACAAATGCTGTCAGAATGTATCGTTCYGTTTGGGAAGCAGATGGAAACATGTAGCATGAAGCATACAGTATGTATCAATGAATTTATCACGTGATCTCCTTCCTGCACGTTTGTCGGACCGGAGCGGAGCRGAGGTAGTGTAAACTGGACTTGAAATGCACAGCTGCGACCTGCGCAGCGGAGCAGAGTGGAGACGTATGTAATGTAAATTGGGGGTGAAACTCTCCTACAGTTAATGGTGGAAACAAATCTACTCTCCCGAGAATCCACGATGCTTTCAGTCAATCTGTTCTTTACAAGCAGCAAAGTAAGTTCTGGAAGGAGATAATGTGGGACGGGCTGTGGCTGTAAGTAACAGATTTAAAGCCGAAAATACACAAGTGCAATTGTCGTTTATTAATCGTTATCAGCTAAATGTCCATAACTATGGTTAAATAATTAACCATGATTTTTTTGCTAATATTGCCCAACTATACAGTATGTGCCAGTCTAACACAGTCCTGGGTGGCGGGGTGGCAGCGTCTCCTTGACTTGTGATCTGGCATTGGCATAGGGTGGTTGTTGAGAATCTGAAGCAGGACTGGCCTCATGCTAAGACTTTAACTGTCATTGTGTCATGGAAACAACTTAATGCAGGATAGGTAGGCAAAACCTATTTGGCAATTACTAAAATGAGGTTTTCCACATTTGTTATAATCCAGCCATGATTTAAAAGGTTGAGTAGGTTGTGTGAAGCAGGAGTGTCATCCAATGTGAAGATAAAATTTAGATATATACTTTTCCTCTGGACATTAGTCATTATAGGTCAACCAATTAGGATTTTTAGATTATCAATGAATACAACATTCTTTAGAAATCAGAGCACCTAACATTTGATATACGTACAACGCCAATGTATGATTTGTTTTTGGCCCGTGAATTTAACAGTTCATACACATTACAAAAGTGATTAAAATAATCTGGGCCACAGTAGGGTGGATGATCATCAATATTAGAAATAGTAAAGGGCTCAGAACATTTTAAAGCACCATCTGAATGGGCCCTGGAATATATAT